TAGTTTGAGTAGCCTGGGCACCTACTCCACTTGGAAAGGAGACATCTCAGATTACATTTCGCGCGGAGTAAGTCTGATGGATGACGGAGGCATGGCTGGATAACTCAGGGTTTTTGAGATGTTCCCCTGGGTGAGTATTCACGGATGAGGGTTGACTTGGGGTGAAGAAAAAGCTACCATAACTTCGCAGTGGTACTTGCAAATGAAATCCGAGGCATGAGTGTTCCAATTGTAAACTGAGTCATCTTTTCTGTACTTTTCTTTGATAATGTGTCATAGCTAGATAGCTGCATACGCAATTAAAATCTGATGCAAAAAAAAATAGTCCGGAAGTCGAAGCGTTACTACGACTAAGTAACACCTGGCAATGCGTGGCTGGGTAGCAAGTATTGTGCCTAAGGATAAGTCATCAGTCTGGAGATTGACGAAGGGGACCAATTCTTATAAATACCTGTTATTGGTAGCTAGAGTTCCTTCATCTCCTCATATAGTTTAGTAAATCGATTTATTCACAACCAACTCGGTTTCTGTCACACTGAGTATATGATCGAATGAGGACTTGTGAGGGGTGGTACTGTTTATTATAAAGAAATGAATCTTGAGGAAGAGGAACATATCTAATGTCGTGAATTATAAGGAGTTATAATAAATTATGTTACGTTTATTTATTTATCTTTATTTAAGGTCTGGCGGATCACGCGTCAAGCGAGTAACCCTGTTAAGTCCCTACTGAGACAAAAGACGCCTATGTTACGTTTAGACTGGACGCAGAAATGAAAGAACGCCAGCACGATAGGACATTTGCACGTGATGCACAATTAAAGCACTGTTTGAGGGGAGCTGTATGGGAGGCATTGTCATAGACTCAGACCGGACAATAAAATGAATAAATAAAATAGTTGTAGAGTATCAAGTCTTCTTTACTTCATCATACATATCCATATAATATCGTACGGAGTATATTTACTGATACAATGGTCATACGAGCGGAAGTACAGTTTATTTCTAATGACACCGACGCTATTGCTGGGATGTTACTCCATACCTGATCGAGTACATTTTCGCTTCTATGTGTTGAAACCCCAGCTCTAGTTGCCAAGTGCATATCATTAGTTGTCGTCCACTCCATTATTTGGTTGCAACTATCGTATTGACGTGAGGATTGCGGTTGCCTGTGCTTTGATACTGAGTTGAAATCTTCTCCAACCACTGTAGGTTCTGAAGGCTTCCACAGTGGTAGCGGGTTTAGAGTGCCACTTTGGCCTAGCGCACGATTTAAATTTCTAAATGTTACCCCGCAAACTCGTTCAGAGCAGTAGTTAGCTGTTTGACTCATGGATGAGGTTATTTGCAAGTTGCGTAGGCCTTTGCGGGTGAATGTGAGTTCCCGGGGCGGAACTCCTCTCTCGCCGATTAGGCTATGTGTGACAGTAACTGAGATGGTTGTGAATAAATCGACTTATTAACTAAATAAGGAGATGAAGGAACTCTAGCTACCAATAACAGGTATTTATAAGAATTGGTCCCCTTCGTCAATCTCCAGACTGATGACTTATCCTTAGGCACAATACTTGCTACCCAGCCACGCATTGCCAGGTGTTACTTAGTCGTAGTAACGCTTCGACTTCCGGATTTTTTTTTTTTGCATCAGATTTTAATTGCGTATGCAGCTATCTAGCTCTCAGGGATGAGGGTTTGACGGTGTTCCACGGGGTGCGTTGTATAGCCTAGTGAAGATCTAGGTGGTAAGTGAAGATTATAAATGGGTCAAAGGGATGACAGGTCTTCTCTAGGAAGAGATGAATGGGCAACTAGTTGCAGTAGATGTTACACGTGGGTCTTGCTGATGAAGAACTGGACAATGGATATATGGTCTTCCCGAAGAAGAGATGGGTAAACAAATGTATTGTAAAGGTTAGATAAAGAAGACGTTGCGTGAGGAGTAAATCTCTCTCACGCCGAACTATTATATACAAGAGTAGAAGCCTTTGCCAACCGGAATTAATCGTAATCAATTCTTGCCAATATCTTCGCATTAATGGCTGTGTTCTTGTCCTTCTCTTCATGACTCTCTTGCATATCCTTACATGACTTTTTACACGACTAATTGTATAGGGGAAGCTATTATTAAATTGATGGTTTTAATTAACTACCCCTTCATCTTATCACGAATTAATATTAGTATTAAAATTCTATTTACGGATCCGTGAAAGTAGGCCCCCTTTTAATCGCGAGCTCCTGCGAGGGTTAGTTATTCCGGTTTGTTTGAGAGGTCCCGGTTTCGTCGGATAGTTTTTATGGAAAATATCGACTGCTGCTGCGTCGTCCAGATTTATAGCCGGTTCCCACGTTGGATCATTTTCACCAACCCATTTAACTAAATATTGAAGGCCAAAATTTTTTGTTGCTCGCGAATCGTATATCTCCTCTATTTGGAACTCTTCCTCTCCATCTATGACTATAGGTGGAGGCCGCGACTGTTTCTGACCTGGGACAGGATCGTTTGCTGCAGGTTCTAGGAGTGACACATGGAAAACTGGGTGGATTTTCATGGTGCTAGGAAGAGAAAGCCGGTATGCATATGGAGATATTATATTTTTAATTGGAAAGGGGCCTAATTTTTTCCAGTCTAATTTTCGGGAGTTCCGAGTTGTTCTGATATTTTTTGCGGATAGGAACACCAGGTCCCCGACAAAGTAACGAGGGGCGGGTTTTCTTTTGGCATTTACCGCTTCTTCTTGTTGGTCTTAAGCCGATCTAATATTTGATTTTAATTGATTATGCAGGTCTTGCATTTTGAGGGCAAAGTTTTTTGCATCTAGATTTGGTGGAGAGCTTTTATGTGTTTTTATAGACACTGTAAATTTTGGGTGAAATCCATAATTACTAAAAAATGGAGTTGCCTGTGTCGTTGCAGAAACCTGATTGTTGGCAGCAAACTCAGCCATGGGGAGCCATTTGACCCAATCATCTTGTTGATATGAAATATAGCTGCGTAAATATTGTTCCATTACTGCATTAAATCTTTCGGTTTGCCCGTCAGTCTCAGGATGAAAGGCTGTTGACATCCTTGATTTAATACCAAGTTGTCTACAGAGTTCTTTCCAGAATGTTGCGGTAAATTGAGTACCTCGATCGGACGTAATGTGCGTCAGTAATCCATGAAGTTTCCAAATTTGACTCAAGTATAATTGAGCAACATTTTCTGCACTAGTTTTTGTGGTACAGGGTATCAGATGTCGCATTTTTGTTAGGCGATCGACTATAACTAGAATCGCGTCGTAATTTTCGCTCGTAGGTAAGCCCGTCACAAAATCCATTGAAACCTCTTGCCATGGCTGTTGTGAAATTGGTAGAGGCCGAAGTACTCCAAATTTCGCGTGGTTACTAGACTTAGACCTGTGACACGTGTGGCAATTGCGAACATACTGAGAAATGTATTTACGCATCTGGGGCCAAAAATAATCTCTGCTAATAATTTCAAATGTTTTTTCGCGACCAGGATGTCCAGCAGATGGATTATCGTGATAGTTCTTAAGGATGTGAAGTTTAAGTGGGTCGTAGTTAGGTACATATAGCACGCCCCTGTATGTCAATCTTCCATTTATTTCGGTACACTCAGCTAATGATATTTGATTTGAGTGTCTTTCGCCTTTCGTGAGTAGATCTAGCAATTGAAGTGGTATTGGATCGCGTTCATAACCTCTTGAGAATATCCTTACATGACTTTTTACACGACTAATTGTATAGGGGAAGCTATTATTAAATTGATGGTTTTAATTAACTACCCCTTCATCTTATCACGAATTAACATTAGTATTAAAATTCTATTTACGGATCCGTGAAACTAGCTATGACACATTATCAAAGAAAAGTGCAGAAGAGATGACTCAGTTTACAATTGGAACACTCATGCCTCGGATTTCATTTGCAAGTACCACTGCGAAGTTATGGTAGCTTTTTCTTCACCCCAAGTCAACCCTCATCCGTGAATACTCACCCAGGGGAACATCTCAAAAACCCTGAGTTATCCAGCCATGCCTCCGTCATCCATCAGACTTACTCCGCGCGAAATGTAATCTGAGATGTCTCCTTTCCAAGTGGAGTAGGTGCCCAGGCTACTCAAACTATACCAGAGAACATCACCAGAAGGCGGACCACAACACCTTCCATCGTCGGCTTGTTTTTATAGTGTAAGCTGCACTCTCGCAAGCGAAGTCTTGGCGCGCACAAAGCTCAATTCGTAAAACTCTTTGCCAAAATTCGGAATCTCACGCCCTCCGAGGTTGTATCCTTCCTTTGCATCATCTTGTCAACTTGTCCTGATCCCTCTCACGTCCATCCCAAAGAGCTGTCTCCCAGATTTGTGCGCCACGCTTTGCTTCCTCCGTCGAGTGTAAATATCGGTGTGGGTGTGTATTTGGTGGTCAACTGAGGCCAGAGAAAGTCGACGAGAGGTATGGTCATTGGAATGAGGATGTACTAGGTCGTGCTTGTAGACTTGATGAAGCTTAGTTGAGAATCGGACTCTTTGGGAGTGAAAGATTGACATGGTGGAGTAATTTGAAATTTTGCCCCGTGGGCCAACTTGTTCGGTATTGCGAAATTTGACTGAACTTGTCTCTAGGAGAATATTTCACTCCCAGGTTCGTAGAGGACACCGCGAACAGGTGTTCAGTCTTGCCCTCCGAGGTTCGTGGGTGCAGGCGCTATGGCACTAGATGCACGTTGTGTTCAATATGTCCACGTGCAATCAGTAGGTTATAGGATGACAGATTTTGAACAAATATCTAATGCTACTACGTGTAGAAATGTTAAACACGTTTCAGCGCAGCTTACGTGTTTACTTAACTTCAACTGATTAACGGAAAATTTGAGAGTTTTCTTCTCGTATCGTTTTCAAAAACAAGACAGTACAGTTCTTGAGATAAGAATTTCTGAAGCGGAATACGAACTTCTCTAATACTGGTTGAACAATGTTTAGCTAAACCACAGTCTTTATGATATTGATAATGAGGCAACCCATAATTAATAAAATGAAGTTTATCCAACGGAGGTATGGCTCGAATATAGGGGTAAGTCTGTGGTCATATAGCCCGAGGATTCAGCATTCTAGAAGCATTTCAGTTTATTCTCATCGGAAGATCCTCAAGACTACTATACTAAGTAGGTCACCTCCATTCCCTAATCCTTATAAAACTATGAAAATACTTGTGCTGTCTCTTTGCTCTTTGCCATAATTATTACAGCTCAGCCATCTCGAAGTGTCGGATTCTCGCATCAACGAAATTATACCACTAGCAGAGAAGTCTCTAATAAAAATTTGGCTAAACTACATACTTTTATGTAAACCACTCCAAACATTATTTCGATTGGCTAAGATTCTGAGGGTCAACGCGCTTGTCATCAGTAATTTTGTGCTATTCTTTTTGTGTTGACCACAGTCATGATAGTAATATATGATAATCAGGACGTCTAGAAACTCACATCCCATTGTTTATGTTAGAAATGGCTGACAAGAAACACTAAGGTCATCCGTCCATTACGAGCAATAATGACAGCACGAGAGGCAATTCTCGCGCCAAATTTAATGATAGTGACAGCCCTTCCCTCGCTTCCAAGATGCTTGAAGCTGCTGCAACAACTCTTGCCAGTATCCTTGTGCTAGGAAGTGGGTTTGGGATTGGGGGATACCTGTATCACAAGTTTTACAAATGGCTTGTGCTACGAAAAATTGACAATGCATTCAGGCCAGGCGATCCAGTTCTTGAGCTTTCGCACATAGATAAAGAATTATCTAATGATCTTGCTCCGTCCTCAAAGCCTAATGCCGAAGATCACTGGATCTTGCGGGATGAACAAGCCAGGATAAGTGCGATCGTCAGTGGAGCTGAGAGTGGCCATTATTACCTACTTATCGGCGAAAAGGGAACAGGAAAATCAAGTATGCTTCTCGATGCGATGCGAAACGTAGATGGCGAAGGCTGCTCTATGCTAGAAGCGCATGCAGATCTTGAAATATTCCGTGTACGACTGGGCAAAGCACTAGATTTTGAATTCCATGAAGACTATATAGGAAGCTACTTCTCAGAAAGGGGACCGCGCGACTCTACAGCCCTCCTTGATATTGAGCGTGCATTCAATAAACTAGAAAAGGTAGCACTAAGGCGCAAAAATCGCGGCAGCAGTACTCTTGTCTTGATTATCGACTGTATGCATCTTTTACGCGATGATGACGACGGACGGAATCTACTGGAACTGCTTCAGCAGAGAGCAGAACGGTGGGCTGCCAATAATCTAGTAACAATGGTCTTCAATAGCGATGATTACTGGATTTACGAGCGTCTCAAACAAGAATCTACAAGAATGGAGGTGATAGCGATTACCGACCTGCCGAAGTCGCAAGCTATATCAGCTCTCGCAAAATATCGACTGAAATATTTTCCCGAAAACGTGTCTCATCCAATTTTAGAAGAGGTATTCAATCGCATCGGTGGACGACTCATCTTCCTGAGTAGAGTAGCTAGATCCCCAGATATGCTTCAGGCGTGCGATGAAATTATGGACGTCGAACGTCGCTGGTTCCTTAACCAGGCTTGGATTCTTGGAGCTGAGATGGATGACGACGTCATGGACCAGCAGAAATACGCAGCTGCTGCCATGGTTCTAGCGCTGGCCCTCGTCAAAGCCGAAGAACAGACCTCTACCTCGCCAGAAATTACTTGTGCCACCCTTCCCGAAATTCCGCTTCATATTGCTCGCGAAATTATGACGCGCTGCGACTTTATCCAGAGCTTCGATCATCATAACCTCTTTACCATTACCTCGACGGCCATGGTGCGCTCTGATAGCGTACCTATGCAACGCGCTCTTCGTGCTATTTGCCTCATGCCAGGCTTTGAGGAACACTTGCAGAAAACTCTTAAGCGTATTGCCGATATCGAATCGCTAGGCCGTACGCGTGAGATTGTGGCCAAAGACTTAGAGCTTGGCGCGAAGTATCAAGTACTTGCTCGCCCAGACTCAGTTTCCAAGGGCTGGGAGATTAGGCTTGAAGGTCCTACAGACTCTCATTCGTAAAAACTTCCAACATAGAGAAGATATAATCTGTCACGAAAAGTATTAACAGCATTAAGGCATATATCCCTGTCCGCATAGGTTAGGTCGACAAAGAGTTGGCATAGTCTGTTTAAAGACTTGCGAAACCATGACACACGCCTTCCTACTGGTCAACTTAGATTAAATCATATTGGGATCTAGAGAGCATATCACCACTTTTATCTCAAATGGCACGATAGAGACCTTACCAACGCTTTCCAAACCCATCGAGCCCAAAAGATGTTAGCATTCAAGATATACATTCCCCTTCGTGTAACAAATGCGGGCTCCCCGGTCCTTGACTCCTAGGAGATATAAAGCATAGCTTAGGACCCAAAAAATTAAGGATAAAAAAATGCGGGCTCTACAGCCTAGATTTGTGGCGGGTGCTTCGCGTTCAGTTGTTAACCGCACACAAAAGAGGCGCTAGGATACTTAGCTAAGCAGTGGCTTTACGCACAAGTTGGGTACTCTCTTCTTCCGAGACATGCTAAGCTACCTAAGTCTCTGCCAGAACATACAAGGCGCTCAAAAAATTATCGCTTGCTGGACTTACCATTTGTAGGCCCTGTATTTCGTCCAATTAAGGTATTATTTGCCCTCAAATCCGAAGATGTTCATGGACGTCATCGTGCCCCTACATCCCCACCAATACGGATCAAGAGGGCGTTAGTCTGTATGGTTCCAATGGATCTAATCATGATGGAAATAGATATTTCTCCTGATCTCAATGGCTCGACGTTCAATAGAGAAACTATTATTTTTAATTGGAATTTTTACATAACAAAGTCTGATTTCCAAATACTTGAGAAATGTGAAGTTAGCTACATCAATCTAAGAATATATCCAAATTTACTCCAAATATAGATATGATATGGCATGTGATCGTTGATGCCCTAGCTCCCGTATCGCCCTTGTGCCTTCGAAAATAAACCCATAAAAGTATTAGATTTCGTAATACCAAAAAGAAAATTGTTACCTGTCTCCGACTTTCATGTGGGGACTGGATACTGACATATCTAGACTACTTTTAGTTTGCCAAGATACTCATTCCACCGTCGAGTGTCAAGCGATTTCGAATCTTTAGTCTTAGATAACCCATACCAAGCTTCTGGGCGCGACTTGTCGCCGCTTCAGCTATTGAGGGTGCCCCTGGCTGATTTAGAAGATTATTATTGATACCTACCATTGCGTTCGGGGAGAATAACAAAGCTTCACCGACATCAAGGTCGACAATTTCAGCGAGTATTTGTTTCAAACTAGTTACTTTACGGCGGGTGATGTCATCATCATCATCACCGTATAAATTCATCTGATCCTGATCCAGGGCTGACAGGTGTTGACGGAGGCATCTGAACCACTCCGGAGAAGTGAATCGATGAACAATTGTGATAGAGCACAAGTCTAAAAGTGAAGGAGAAATGGTAGGCTCTTGTGTAGAGATAAACACTCTAGTTCCTAGATGACGCTGGAGTCGGATAGACGATAGCAGCGACGAGGTGAGGGTCATGGCTTCTGAAGTTGAAGTCATATATTTGTGCGCTTCATCCAGGGCGATAATTCGACCAACTTTAGTCTTTTGCTCTAGGAATAGCCCAAGGCATATGTTAAATAGCGTACAAGCTGATTCTGCTGTAACGCAAGGGCATGATAGATCGACAATTGTGAGAGTACCAGGCTTGATTTTCCAGGTGTCGAGGCTAGCTTTCTCTTGTGATCTACCAACCAGTATCTGGCCTCTGTGAGATGCCGTTTGTGAAGGAGGCATAAAAGACTCGAGGGTGTCAAGTCTTTGCAGGAGTGGCGCGAGCTGGGCTGATGTCAAGCTGCATTCATCGATCCCCCTCTTAAATTTGCTATAACTAAAAGGTGTATTCATTGCCTGTTGCTCTATGCGAAGCTCTCGTAAAATTCGACTTATTGAATGTATGTATAGTGGTAGAACTCCATTTTCCGGATTGACAGCCATTAAGTCAAACATTCTTTGTGTGTTCAAATCTGTTTCATTTATACGAAGTGCCGAGGTTTGCACATTTAGGCCTCTGTAAGTTCGCTAACAACGTTAGTTGAGATTAATTCATCAAAATGAGCGCAGCACTAACCCGTATCGTCTCTATATTTGACGGTGAACACAGTACGTTCACTTTTATGTTCGGATTTGATGCAAGGTACGCAGCTTCGCATGGAGTGCCACAATCATCAGCAGAAAATTTGTCGTAGTGAAACACCAAAGCGGCGAGAGGACTCTCTAACTCGCTCACATACGACTGCATCAAACAGTTTTCAAGTAAACACGACAACGAATGACTTTTACCAGACCCCTGGGATCCGCAAATAAATGCACTTGAGGGAGCAGATATGTTGAAGAACACACGCGGGTCCTGCGTGGTATTTTGATCTAACTGACCCGAGATTCCGGCAAGGAATCCGTATGGACCAAGTTTATCCCTAAAGTGCCGTAATACAGGCGCTGTAAATATCGGTGCTGCCTGGATCTGATTGACTTTTACCTCGGTATGCGACGTTCTTAGGAGCTCCATGTGCGATTGGAGTATCCTGAGCTCCTCATCTTCAGACTTTATGGCTGAAACAGCGGATTGTGTGTTGACTTTCGAGTTGTTCTTAGCCATCTTGACCTGTGGCGGATTAACTTCCGTTGGCTGACTAGGTTCGTTTTTATTTTTGTTTTTGTTCTTTTTTTTCGATTCCTTAGGCTTTTTGGATTCCTTTGACACATCAGTTTCCTTGGATTGCTTGATTTCCTTTGGTTGTTTAATTTCCTTGGATTGATTTGTTTCCTTTGATTGTTTAATTTCCTTGGATTGATTTGTTTCCTTTGATTGTTTAATTTCCTTGGATTGATTTATTTCCTTTGATTGTTTATTTTCCTTTTGTTTTTTTGTCTCCTTTGATTGTTTAGGGTCCTTTGACTGATCAGCTTGCTTTGCTTTTTCAGCTTTCTTTGCCGACTTGGATTTCTTTGGTGGTTTAGGTTTCGCAGTAGCAACGACTTGTGGGACTGACTTCGACTCTTCCACAAACCAACCGCCAGAAACAAGTGTAGATGGCATTGTTTCCGTCGTGATTACTCTAGAGTATGATAGAAACGTACACGAGCGTCAGAAATCTTTCTTTGGAAATCAGATGTCTGCCTAATTGGATAATGGCGCTGGCGTAAATTGTGAGTGAATATTAGGGTTTACCCAAAATTTGGTGAAAAGTAATAAGAAAGTGATGATGGAAAATTGGTGGATGAAACTTCTAGTTTTATTTCAATCTACACTTGATAGAGTGTTTTCGTTTCTTTTCCGCGCGTCGCTCGTGACTAGACTTGTGCAGCTTCGTCGAGGCTATATGTCCTATATCTATTAGTTACTGGCCGCATACCTTTCATTGAATTCCTGTTAGTCACCTGTCTATTACCGTTTGCCTGCAAGTCTAATCCCAGCCGCCACCCGCACTTAAACTAGCCCGCAAGAAAAATCTACTTGCCACCGCTACGAACCAAGTCTGTAACTACGTACAACATGCTTTGTATTAATCAGCCCGACAAAGAGAATGTTTCAGGATATTATACTTATCTTTCAAATCAGCATTCACCAATTGGCACTATGTTCTTCATCGATTATCAGGCCAACATTCTTGCACTAGCATAACTCGCACTAAGAGCACCTGACAGGGAACGTTGTATGACGCACTAACTCGCTAAGTGTTTCGGACCAGCGGGTGGATCCGATCTTTATTTTTATTTTTTTAATTTGACACAGGAAGATTTCCCGGCTAATCCCAGTTTCGAATCTAGGAATATATTTTTGGACTCCTATTTTTGCCCAAGGCCACGAGAAACGACTTGACCTTCCCTGTCCTCACAATGCCTGCACGGAGGAACTTGCTACGGTATTTTGAATTCTATTCGAATGACTACAAGGTGGCTTCACGATCGATCGAAATTAAAGGCCCTAGAGGTGGAAGCTGCAATCATGCCAGTTAAAGTCAGACACCAGAAACATCTGATCTATTATGGGCTGAGGGTTTTGAGACTTCAGAAGGACCACCTCATACAAGAACATCTGCTCTGCCCATTGGAGGATGAATTGACAAGCACCAACCAGATTGACCTTGGCTTACTCAACTTTATTGACAAGCCAGTCACCCAACTAATGAGAATTGGATGTACATTGAAGCCCCTTGCTTCATTCAACAAGCTGGAGGAGCAGAATACCATCTGGACACCTCCATGGCACCAAACTCAGATTCTAACCAGCATTTCTTCTGAGACAAAAGAGATCACTAAGTTGTGGCACTTACAGCAACTCAAGCATATCCCAATTGAAGATGTCATAGTCTATACAGATGGCTCCCTTTCAGACACAGGAAGCAGCATTGGCTTTGTGGTATACTTGCCAATCAGCAGAGAGATTAAATGTTTCTCATATCACCTTGGTGACACTATGGGTATCACAGATGCTGAGACTTACTGCCTATTGAAAGCAACTCAATATGTGAAGAGACATTTTTCAACTAAGACAATATATATATTCACTGATAGCCAGGCTAGCATCCTTCGGATCCAACACAGCAGTAACCACTTTTCACATCAGATCAGGATGGCATCTCAAGGATGCACTATTCATCTTCAATGGTGTCCTGCACATGTTGGTATAGAAGGAAATGAACTAGCAGACAATCTAGCCAAAAATGGAATTAAAAAACAAGTAATGAGAAGGGACAAGTTTATAACTCATTCATTTATGAAACAAAAAGCAAAAGAGCTGGTACTAGAAGAATGGAATAAAGACTGGAACCTCGAGCTTTGGCATGAGGAAGAGGGCCGGAAAGCAAAGGGACTGGGCAAGTACTACAGGATCCAGGCACAAACTAACCAACCCAGCTTTACATTCAAGTTATTTAAATTTCAAGATCATAGCAGGGAGACAGAGTCAGGATTTTTCCAAGCTAGGCTTGGAATTGGAAATACTCGAGTATATTTGCACATGATAGGAAAAGTTGAAGATGACATATGCAATTTTTGTTCAAAACAAAGGCAGACTGTGCAGCATTTATTGTTACATTGTCCAAAATTTAAAAACCAAAGAAACAGATGTTTTAAGCACATAGAACCAAGAACCCTACCTATATTATTTCGAACAAGAAGAGGAAAAGAAGCACTTCTTAAATATTTGGACACATCCAAGTGCATGGCAGCACATAAAGGGAGTTGAACTAGGATAACTAAATTGGGAAATTAAAAAGTATTATGAAGATTGTATTTCAGAAAGGAGTTTTGGGGAATTTAATTATGTAAATAACGTGTCATAGCTAGATAGCTGAATACACTATGAATAAAAAAAAAAAAAAAAAAAAAAAGATCGATCGAAATTATTCAGTAAAAAGTGGTATGATTCTGTATTGTTCTAATGTCTGTTCTCGATCACTAGACAGGATCCAAAGCTATACTGTGGATCCTCGCAAGCGCATTCATGCCACGGTCATCATGTTGTGATGACATGATGAGACATATTTTTACGATTTAGATGAACCGACAAGTCAACCAATTGATTTCTCAGTGTATCTCGAGTGAGAAAGTGGAGTGTGTGAATGCACTATCAAGAGCATGAATTATTTTCCTTGTCAAATCTACAAGACCAAGGGCTCAACCCCAGATTTAAAAAAAAAAAGGGCTCAACCATACTCCTTCACCGTGCAGACCTGATGTTAAAGGTCGAAAATGACATAAATTTTACAATCAGTACCCTTGAGCTCGCATGTCATAGTACCGTGGTGCCACGGTATCAGTTTTGTAGTGGGGCTTTGGCAGTGTTTTTAGCGTGTAAACTAAGACGCCTTAGGCATAGTCACCTTCCATATTGACGTTAGCCCCCGTATTTGTGCAAATTTTTGAAAAATTGTGTATGGCAGTTTTTATCTGGACACCATAGTTTGCAGTGGGTCTTTCCTTTGTACTAAACCTAATTTGTATAATGATCGGCTGCATAACATTTGTGCATTTTTGCTACTTGACTTTATAACTTATTTACAAGAGTTCAAAGGTTTTCAAATTACAAAATAGAGCCAGTCTTATCCTAACCTTATATCTGAACATGTGGCTGGAATATTTTCAGGCCTTAATATCTGGTCGGTCCCCCATCCGCATCTACCACAGCCTGACATCTTGCTGGCATACTCTGAATGAGTCTCACAAGATCTTCGGAAGAAACGGAATCCCATGCCTCCTTTACAATGTTGCGAAGACTACCTTGAGTTCGCTGCTTTTCGCAACCCAGATTCGGTTGATGACGCTTGATGTAATCCTTCATCTTATTCCAAACAGCTTCAATCGGGTTGAGATCAGGCGAGTTGGCCGGCCAGAAAATCGGTTGAATGAGCCTCTGGCTCATATCTTCCAGTGTAATTGCGGCTGTGTGGGCAGGAGCATTGTCCTGCCTTACGGAAAGCCAAGGTCTCATCGAGACCATGCCATCAATAAGAAGAACTATCTTCTCGCAATATTTTGGGGAGTTAATGGAACCCCATTCCTTCTCCCAAAACAAACAAGGGCCTTTTTCTGGCCCTGCGAAGCAACCCCAGAACATCCATCCGACCCTATTCTTCAATTTTTCTCCAACAAAATCAGCGTTGTATTCTTGGAAAGTCTAGCTCATAATGTTAGAGCATCAAATTACCATCTTCTTATAGAGGAAAGTACCAACACTTCTTGTCACCCATTCTCTATAATGTCTTCCATCCTCTACCCAAGTTTCGTCTGTCCATAAAACTGACGTCCAGTCTTCATATGTCCAATTGAGATGAGCTTCGGCCCATTCTCTGCGTGTCTTCATAGTTTTCTGAGATACTGGAGTCTTTAGATGAGCCGCATGTCGCTAGTATCCTCTTTTTGTAAGTTCTCTTTGAATTACCCGCTCGCTAACACCAAGATGTCTAAAGGGGCCAGAGGCGAGTTCCAGAAATGTTTTGCGGCGGTTTCCAGGTGAAGACTCAATGTAAGATATAATCTGATCAACATCATCTGCTTTCAGTCTTGAGGATGTTCTTTTTCTCTTTTTGGGGGAGACAGTTCCGCGGCGCAGTGAATAACTAACTTGTCCCCAAGAAATGCCTAGTTGCGCGGCAATCTGCGTCTGCTTTTTGCCAGATTCATGGAACCCATAAATCTTAAAATTTCTTTTAATTTCAATTCGTTCATTTTAATTATTCTACTTCCTAAAATGTTTTGATCTCTGGATAATTATTTGATTCGAGGTGTCGAAGGTGGGGTTTGAGGTGGATTCATCTGTAAAATAAGATTAGTATCGAGTAAAGCCATGTGTCTTCTGAATGAATAACTTTGTATTTGAGAAATCTAATTCTTATTGTCACTCAAGGACAAGATGAGAAGAGCTATGTACCTTTTTAGCGGTCGGCGTTCATAAAAGTGATGGCAAAGAACTAGGGAACAGCTCGATTTGCATAAAACTGAGGGTGACATGAAATCAAATTGTGTCCTTAGTTTAGGTCTTGAAATCCTGGACAAGTATTATGTACCCTGTAAAATCGGGCGCTAATAGGGGTAATATCCCTGAAGCGAATATGCGCCCCATTTAAATCCACTGAAAGCTTGAAATCGTGGCACTGTGTGTCCAGGTCACGGGATAAAGGGTTAATACTATTAGTGTAATATCTGTTATGTAATCATGGGTTAGCGTAGTTGTATTCTTGGGGAGTTTCCGGTTAGCTTTGAATAAACAACGAACTTACACTAGACTTAACGAACTCCACAGGCATTCTGCAATCCAAGATTACAGGCGTGCTTTGAGTTCATAGTCTACAGTAAGACCTTCGTAATCCTTACACGTGAACGCACAAATAGCTATTTGCGCAGGTACCTCAACTACCACAAAAAGTTTTACTTTGACATTAACGAAATGGCTCCGTCAACGAGAAGTTCTGGATATATCGATCCGGACGCTAACAAAGCTCCAGCGGCAGAGATAACTCTTCACGACATCATGATGGAAATTCGTAAGGTCTCAGCGCAACAGGATAAGCAAGGCAGCGATATCGCAGCTCTTGCTACACGTATGGATGTGATGGACGATAAATTCAATCATCTGTCCAAATCTTTTGAGACTCAAACCCAGGAAATTCCAAAGAAATCTGTTCAGCATGAAAGTTCAGGTTTTCAAACAACCGATGAAAAACCTCATATCGCCGACACCAGAGATCCTTTAACCATCCCTGGTTTGCAGTCTACCTGGGACCCGAACAGAGGACCGTTCCGAGCGCCACCAAACTCACCCGGCCCGCGGACAAAAACAAATCTGCTATGTTTATCGGAACCAATGGTAGATAGGTCGGATCGCGAAAATTGGCCATCATACAACAACAACAGCCAATATATTCAGTGGTTGTGGAAGTACTGGTGTGAGCTCGTCGCCGAGAGTGATTTGGATAGAAACATCCTAGACGTCCGAAATAGTAGTAAACCATTTCGACCTGGATTGAAACCTCTCTCAGTTACAAATGATGTTGAAAATCTAATGCACTTGCAGGAAATACAATCAGCATTAGTCCAAGAGGGGTCCTACTATCATCTGTGGCCGCAAAGAGTTTGCCACCTATTCCAGGGAGATTTCAAACAAGTAAACTCTTTCTGCAAGACACATCGTCCGACATGGCCAATGACTATTGAGGCAGTCCTACAAATCCTCTCGTTGTCCAACAATCTAAGAAGCCCAGTCGACGCATTTGTTGCCTTTCGTTCTGGCCCATTACCAAATGAGTCAACTGCTCAGTTTTTGAGACGCTTTGAACAGGCATTCCACAGAATGCCATCCAGGGAAAGGGTTGATAAAGAAGTTGAGTGCACGATTGAATACACTCTGCAAACACATGCGGGTATGGTCTGGAATTCTTTAGTGCAACAAAATGATGCCTTTCCGCTTCACAATGCACTTTCCATTGCTTGGACAATTGCTGAAAAGCAACAAAATTGGATGGCTCAACTATCTTCCCGTCCTCTGGATCGAGAATTTCTCCCAGCGTATAAAGATCCGCTCCGTGAAATCCAAGATGATAAATACACACTGCAAACATCTGCATTTGAAAATCCAATAGCTTCGGTCAATGCTGCAAACGCACAAACGGTTTGCTACAACTGTGGGAAATTGGGTCATTTTAGTTCAGATTGCAGAAGCGATAAAAAGCTGGAAAATTCTAGCAAAATTAATACTTCCAAGGAAATTTATGGCACGTTTAAAGCGAAAATTGGACAACAAACACCTCAACATTCAAGATATAAAAATCATGTTGCAAGTACAATAAATTCTACTCCAACTTTCAATCAAAAAAAAACCAATCGACCACCCCCCCGCCTCCTCGTCGCTCGAATCCGTCCAGATCTGTTTATGCTAATCATACGGTTCAGTTTGATGACGACATACCAGATTTATGGGACTCCGACGAGTATCAGGACTTGTACCCCATTCATGCACAAAATAATGATAATGACAATGATGAGTTAAATGATAAGAATAATGACAATGCCAAGGAATAGGAATTTGGCAGCGGCGCCTTTAAAACTGACGCCGTGTGCCTAGATGATTCAAAACTTTCTAATAATATAAATAATTATTCTTTTTCCTATGTTTCGCGAGAAGGCGTTAATGATAATCATCGTTTCTTCTCCTGTTTTATTAATGGTGTTAAGAGTTTTGCTTTTTTTGATGGGGGTACTGCTAGTTGTTATATTGTTGATTCCATTGCTTCGACTGTCCCGCCTCATAATTTGACTTTATCTACTTCACCTGTTCAGCTCCAAGGAGTAGGAAAAAATCTAGGCCCTATTGTTAGCTATGACTGCGACCTTTCTATTGATTTCGGAACTGGCCCCTCATTACGAATAATTTGTGGAGTGGTGCCAGATGGAACGTTTCCAGCACCTCTAACTATTGGGAGATCAGTTTTACATAATTTAGGAGTACTATACATACCCAATTCTGATCGCGTTCAATTAACAAAACTTACTGGTACCCCAATACTCACTCCCACTCCGAAAGACAAGTTAGATTTAGAAAATGTCACAATCTGGGCAGCTACAAATATTCCGAAAAATACACCTACTTCACAATATCTCTCATCAAAAGAGCTAGTCATCCATCCACCACCTAAAGTCGCTAATAAAGAGCAAAATTTAATTGACAAAAATGTTTTATACCTCAAATCTAAGTTTCCATCACTATTTGATTCAACTCAAGTTTCTGGAAGCGCAACTCGAGCAACTGGTGTTAAACACGATGTCATTTTAAATACTACATTCAATTTAAAATCGGCACCAGGAAGATACTCTCCTCATGACACTCGGATACTTAAAGAGTTTGTAGATGCAGGTATAAAAGAAGGCGTCCTATATAGTGGCCAGAGCCCATTCTCTAGCCGTGCGATTTTGGTCCCGAAAGATGGCAAACCCAAAGGACGAATGGTGATAGATTTCCGACAAGTTAATAACCACACGGAAAAATCCGCTTACCCGTTACCGGTGATCCAAGATGAAATACGCAAAGCTTCCGGTCATAATTTTTACATAAAGCTTGACCTTAAGTCAGGGTTCTATCAAATAGAACTGACTGAGCGTGCTCAAAAAATCTGTTCCTTTATCACCCCTCAAGGGCAATATTTATTCAAAGTTATGCCTTTCGGGTTAACCAATGCACCTGCTACATTTCAGAGAGCGATGGATGAGTGCCTCCAACCTATCCGTAACATTACATCAAACATGATTGATGATGTGATTACTTGGGGCAACACAGTGGCAGAAACTACCCATAACGCTTCATTGGTTATGGAACGACTTGAATCTTGTGGTTACAAATTGAACCCTAGGAAATGCGCATGGTTTGTCACACAGACCAAATTTCTCGGACATATCATCGATAGGAACGGTATTCAAGTAGATCCTTCAAAGATTCAAGCAATTCTCGACAGACCTATCCCACGAACAGTTACCGAAGTGCGAGCATTCCTAAACTCTTGCAATTACTTTAGGGATTACGTCAAACTGTTCAGTAAGCTAGCAGGTCCTTTATATAGTATTACTTCCCTAGAAGGAAAGAATATACCCGTAACCCTTGATGATGAACAAGTTGCGTCATGGAAAGCTACTCGAAACGCATTAATCACCACTCCTGTTTTAAAGCCAATGGACCCTCAGTTGCCCGTGGTTCTGGATGTCGACGCTTCGGACAAGTATACGGGTGGAGTATTATTGCAACCAAATGAACAATTTACTCCTTTTCTTCGCATGAAGGTGTCGCAGCCAACAATGGAGGGTGCTCATTTACATCCTGTAGCATATACTAGCCACAAACTTAGCCCTACTCAACAAAGATATTCTTCACAAGAACGAGAAGCTCTAGGAATAGTTCAGGCTCTGCAAACTTGGCAAGACTGGATTGAAGGATGCGATATCATAATCAGAACAGATCATGAAAGTTTGGCTGGGATCCGAAAAAAATCAAATTTACCACGCAGAATGCAACGATTCATCGACATTCTCGAGCATTTCGATCCTAAGATTGTGTACAGAAGAGGAAAGTCTAATTATTTAGCGGACTGGCTTTCTAGACCTCCAAGTCCAACCACAGCTTTCCCAATCGGAAAATTCGACCCAGTTCACGATAGTTTATCATCTGTATCGTATTTCAAAATTCCTGATATTGACAGATTAACTTGGATAGATTTGCAATCAATCGGAGAATACCTCCAACATAAAGTCGCTCTTCCAAGCAATCTTCCCGAGAGTTGGGTTAATAAAAATTTTTCTTCTCACAATGGCCATACCTATAAATTTCATGACAATAAATTCTTAAAGATTTATCATTATGGAAAGCTCGTCAAGGAACTTGTAAAGCTGCATGAAGATAATGCGCACTGTTCTATAGGTACATTAATTAGAGAATCCAGAAATCATCTTTGGCATCCAGATATTGTTTTAGCTGCTCAAGAAGCGTACAAAACGTGCTCACGATGTCAAATTATGACCCAACCTGTCGATATACATTTGCAGGATACTTTACGCCCTGTACAGGTTCCCGCACCGTTCACGAGGTGGGGAATGGATCACACCGGTCCAGTACGTCATAATAGTCTGGCGGCTTATCTGTGCACTGCCATCGATCATGCAACTTCATATGCCATGGTAATATTGACTCAGTCTCCAAACACCGCCTCCTGCTTAGAACTTACACGCCAAATCTACACATTGTTCGGGATTAAACAACTGGTAACGGACAATGGACAAGCCTTCGTGAGTAAGGAAATGTCTGCTTTTTGCAGGGATAAATCAATTGAGCAGAGCCTAACAAAACCATACCGTCCACAAACAAACGGCAAAGTGGAAAGATTCAATGGCACGATTAAAAGTATTTTCTACGCCGTATCCTCTATCAATCCATCCCGCAGCATCCAGTGGATCTTAGATCAATCGCTCAGCACATACAATCGACGTCCTAACTCTACTGGTTATGCTCCCATATTCTTAGCTCTCGGAGTCACCCATGAAGAACCTCCAAGCCCTTATGTGCGAGAACTTACTCCATCGGAAGAATCAAGCTTTGCTGCCGACCTCGTGAAATTGTATAACCCGAGAGTGCAAAATGCACGCATGAATGTCGCAACTGGAAAAGCATCAAGGGATGAAATTCGTTCCTACCTTCAAGAGAGAAAGGCTCGCCTGAGAGTATTTGGAAAAGGCGATTGGGTTTTGAGGCAAAGAAAAAGAGACCATAAAGGAGAACCATTCTACGACGGTCCATTTATTGTTGGAGATGCCACTCCTCAAAACGGATACCTTCTGCGTACTCCCGGAGGGTTCACCCTACAAAATGAATACCATGGACAACAGCTATTTCCAGCTTATGTTAGGGATGGCCATCCTGTTAGATCTCTTTGGTACGGAAGCAAAACCCTACTTGATAGAGACAGACGAAAAATGTTGGATGCATTAACACCCTGGGATCACGCTGACAACGTCTGATATAGGAGAGGGGGATGGTGTGTGTCCAGGTCACGGGATAAAGGGTTAATACTATTAGTGTAATATCTGTTATGTAATCATGGGTTAGCGTAGTTGTATTCTTGGGGAGTTTCCGGTTAGCTTTGAATAAACAACGAACTTACACTAGACTTAACGAACTCCACAGGCATTCTGCAATCCAAGATTACAGGCGTGCTTTGAGTTCATAGTCTACAGTAAGACCTTCGTAATCCTTACACGTGAACGCACAGCACCATGATTCAGTGCCTCTGGGTTGGAAGAGGTAAAACTTCAAAATGCGTTGTTTAAAGGATTAGCCCTGTAGGCGCAGCTGGGCTAGCTCGTAACAGGTTAGAATGCCTCCCCTCCTTAATCCGCTCGCCATGAAGTATGGTCCAATCGTCTCCTTCCAATAATCGGTAATGAAAACACATTTTCAACGATATTTGGCTGCCTGACCCATACAGTCCTCGAAACTTAACATCACTATCAATTCGTCCTCTATTCTAGCAAACAATGTCTCTTGAAAAGTCTGCTTCAGAAACAAAAGTTCGCAAGCATCTACCTCTCAATCAATGTATTGAAATAAGAGCATTAAGAAGACGTGGCTTGACACTTCAAAATATATCCGACAAACTTGGCTTCACAACAAGACAAGTACAACTTGCGTGTGCTCGAGAGACTGAAAATCCTATGTCTCGCTAAGGACCCTTACCAAAATTAAGCGCGGAACAAGTTGATGAGCTTGAGGCTTTCGTCCGGGAGTCTCCTGAAAATCGACAGATGTGCTATTTGGAACTAGCTATGGGGCCCTTCAGCCACTGGAGATGCAGTGAATTTTTAATTTCTAATGCACTCAAAAAAAAGGTTACAGCAGATGTATTGCTCGGAAGAAGCCTCCGTTAAGTGTGGTAAACATGCACGAGAGATGTGTAGCAGTGATAAAGGAAAACGAAGGGTGCACAAATTATTAGCATAGAGCAGACTAATACAAAGCATGTAGAACGGTTTCATCCTAGCTGCAAGTCATAATGAGGGCTTCGATGTGTTCTTTTGCAATACAGAGCAATTATTTTTGAAATAGATGTGTATTTTTAGAGAATATTAATTGATTTTTTTAATTTTGAATCTCAAATGAGGACCATTGTACTTTTCCCGTGGAGTTCAAAACCATCTCCATAATTTAAACTTTCATGGAATGTCATTGGATAGTGCCCCTTGCTTGCATAACTAGTCGAGTAACTAGACATGGGCCTGCATGAAGATCATTCCAATTAAGGCAACGTGTACAGGGATCTAACCCCAGTCATTTTGACAATTTTACCTTTGCCATCCTTAAGAGACTGTAAGTCAACCCGTAGGATTTTGTGGGAACGTAATAAATTTGTAGCTGTTTGTAACATGTACCCATGACATTTGTCCCACTCCATGAATGATGAAATTTTGGTTCTCCCCTATCCTTGACACTTGCCACTCAGAGAGATCATCACACTATAACGATCCTTCGACTTCCCGAATATACGAGGCGAGTTGTCATGGGTCAGTTTTTGAAATGTTAAGTGCTTAATCATCCATCTAGTCAATGGACATGAATGCACTCTACTTCATCGTTTCTTGTAGGTGAAACTATACAGCAATCACACATGGTCTGTGCAAGCCTGCAAAGACGAATTCTTCACCCTCCAGTGTGTCTATGTGTCTGGGTTTGTTGTACTACTTGATTCTTACACTATTTAGCGCATGGAGCCCCTCCCTGACCCAGGCCACACCTTGAACAGTGCTCCTTGAAAGATCATTGATATGTTACCCTTGATGAATAGCCATTCAACTCAGTATTTACCTGTGGAATTCAGCCACCTTTCCCACGGAACCTTCTATCCAAAAAGAAAAAAGAAAAAAAAGGTAGCAATGGAAACTGTGTGCGCGGGAAAAAGTCTCAAAAAACCTGTAGCCCCAGCCAGGCGAGGCCTTTTTTTTTTTTTTTTTTGCATCAGATTTTAATTGCGTATGCAGCTATCTAGCTATGACACAATATCAAAGAAAAGTACAGAATAGATGATTCATCGTTAAGGAAGAGCACTCATGCCTCAGATTTCATTTGTAAGTACCACTGCGAAGTTATGGTGGCTTTTTCTTCACCCCAAGTCAACCCTCATCCGTGAATACTCACCCAGGGGAACGTCTCAAAAAACCTGAGTTATCCAGACATGCCTCCATCATCTTTCAACTTTTCTCCGCGCGAAATATGATCTGAGATGTCTCCTTTCCAAGTGGAGTGGGTGCCCAGGCTACTCAAACTATACCAGAGAACATCACCAGAAGGCGGACCACAACACCTTCCATCGTTTGCTTGTTTTTATAGTGTCAACTGCACCTTCGCAAGCGAAGTCTTGGCGCGCACAAAGCCCAATTCGAAAAACTCCTTGCCAAAATTCGGAATCTCATGCCCTTCGAGGTTATATCCGTCCTTCGCATCATCTTGTCAACTTGTCCAGATCCCTCTCATCCATCCCAAAGAACTGTCTCCCAGATTTGTGCGCCACGCCTTGCATCCTCCGGCGGGTATAAATATCGGCGTGGGCGTGTATTTGGTGACCAGCTGAGGCCAGAGAAGGTCAAAGAGTGGTGTGGTCATTGGAATGAGGATGTACTTGGTCGTACTTGTAGACTCGATGAGACGAAGATAGGGGTCAAACTCGTTGGGAGCGAAATAACGAAGTGGATGAGTAATTTGGATTTTTGCCTTCTGGGCCAACTTCTTTGATATTGCGAAATTTGACTGAACTTGGCTCTGGGAGAATATTTGACTCCCAGGTTCGTAGAGGACACCGCGTACAGGTGTTCAGTCTTGCCCTCCTCAGGCGAGGCCTAGACACCGGGGCCACATGAGGTGCGCATATTCATCTATATCTCCCTTCTTTGTAACGATCGAGGCCGTCTTGATCCAAACCACCGTCACCGTATCGGGTGCTGGGTACGCTCCTGAAACTCATCGGATGGCTTTTCCATCATGATCAAGGGTTGGTGATGAGTAGGGCTCCGACCCTACCATCTGGTCTGATCGTGGTTAGCTTCATGATAATGGTGATAGGGGAATGTGTTGAGGGATGAAAACGATACAGACCGCGAAAGCGATTGGAAATTCTCATCGAAAAGAGGACTTTGTAACCCAATATCGGCTCTGCAGACTCTGCATTGAGATCTGGACTGGTTCATGGGGGATTTTATTTTATTTTAGCATTTAACGTCCGCGGCGAAACTATCTTCCGATAGTCTCCAAAAACCTCCCTAGGGGCGAAGGACGCGCTGTCGGGCTAAGCCCGCAGCGAAATTTTCTAGCAGTTCTGCACTAATTACAATCCAGTCCAGTATCGCAATCTTATGCAATACTTCGGTCCCTACATTTATTTCCCCAGAGGAGACTACATTCCATTTATGATACTAGAGTATGCCACCGCCCCTTCCTCTGTGCCTAATAGCCAATTTATTGCCTCTTGAGTTCTAAGTTTTCCAGTATATCTTCTTACTGTCGCTCTTTTCAAGCGGCAGAAAAAAAAATGAATAGGGGACTTTGCTCGCCCACAAATGCACGGTGAGTAGCTGGTATGGTTAAATCTCTCATGGTAATTCTCAAAGTCTCCGTGCCCTGAACGGGCCGAAAGAAGGTGGTGGAGTGCTTTCCTGGGAATCCGTAGCGTGGCTGGGCATTTTCCAGGTACTCCTGCCTGTATGGTTCATGGGGGATGTAACGGCTTGTGAGCCGATTGTTGTGAGGCACGTGATTTTATTCACGTGCTTCAATAATTCTACAGTGGTCTAGCTTAATTCCAGAATATTACAGTTGTGACTGGTACGGCTGCTCGTCGTGAAAGTGTACAGGAGGAATTATTGAGGTTCTCTCACGAAGGTTTTCCCTCAATACATGGTCCTTGGATCAAGGTGAATGCGTTCCTACCTATTCGACCCGATGTAACTAGCGTGAGGCACGTATTTGGAAAAGTCGGGCACCAGATGGGCTTTGCTGGAGAATGGAGGAACTTGTATTCTAGATGCCCTCCATGCGTGTCACGTCCATTGGATGGAGGGTGTAAGCCTGGCACGATAAATATAATCATCATCATCATCTGCTGTGACTGGAATATGTGAGAAGCAGATATCAGCCAAGAACGAGTAGTCTAGAGATCTTTATAAATGTAAAAATAGTTGGAGTAATACTCATGTAGTTAGTCATTGAGAAAATTATAAACTACTTTTAATATGTGATTGCCCCAGCATCGACTCTCGAACCGTGACAAGGGACATCACTGACAGGTGTTGAGATTAGTTTCCCTAAACAGTACAACAACCATAGTGACGAACTCAAACATCCACATCTCAGTTATCTCATACATCGTGACCCATAATCCTCTATCTAATCTCTATGACTAAGCGACAAAGCTTTAACAGGCTTTGCTGGAGGTCTCGTTGATGCCGGGGGGTTGTTATGGACTCGAATATTTTTCACTGATTCTGTGAACGTCTTGAGTCTAGTTTAGGTTACTATCGCCCAGGTAGGCCCGAACTGAGTCACTTTTTATAGCAGCTATTGCTGCTCTTCATTCGTTTGTTCCACGATCTTTCCGCCATTATTCTGGCAGTTTGGTCGTAGAGGGAAGTTGGGTAGGAATATTCCTGGTACCGATATCATGAATTGAGCCATCACAGCTAGGAGTTATAGTTTCATGGAGTCTATAAATTGAACGCTCGACCCTTCAGATAGAGGTGAGAGCGCATTCTCCACGCCGTTGATAGCATCGAAGCATGTTATGAGGTTAGTTGCGATTTAGGCCGCCCGCTTTTCTTCGGCTTCAAGTATAGCTCAAAGTTCAGGGGGAAAAGTTGTAGAGTCATTTGAGCTACTATCGCCGTATGAAGTTTGAAAGTTTCCACATTCCCTCAGAATACCCTTCCGAAGGGTTGTGGTGGACTCATCTCCGTCGGCCTTTTTTGCGTCAACATCAACTGACCGCTTCATGGCCGGCACATCAAATTTACTTGTGTGTGCATTGTAGGGGCCTCTGAGACCTGGATATCTTTGGATTCCCCTATATTCCACCGTGAGGTCTCAAGCCCCTCTTTGATATATTGGTCGATGGCCGCATCGACCATGTCAACATCTAAGTTAGTGGAGTTCGAATCTACTTCGAAGGCTTTTATCCTCTCAGTCATATCCAATTCTACCTTTCGCCCGTCTATTGAGCTCAATGTTGGTTATTGCCAAGGATAACTAGGGGGGAAGATCCCGAATAACAAGTATACAATTTCGGACAAGTCTTTGTTGATAGTTGTAAAGGATATCGAATCCTCTTCCCAATGTGAGTTGATGATGTTTAAAATATTTCGTTCACTTAGCTTAACACTTACAAGTCTATCATTAAATACAGATTTCTAAGACTTTAGTGATCTCGAACTCCTCGTGATCTGGCAACAACCAGCCACTCAATTATCACAAGGTTGCATTTCTTAGCCACTGCATTTCAGATACCAGTGAACCTCATGTCGTTCTCCCAGAGCCAAGTTCAGTCAAACTTCGCAATACCGAACAAGTTGGCCCACGAGGCAATGATTCAAATTACTCCACCATATCAATCTTTCACTCCCAACGAAATCGATTCCTACCTAAACCTCATCAAGTTTACAAGTACGACCTAGTACATCCTAATCCCAATGACCACACCTCTTGTCGACTTTCTCTGGCCTTAGCTGGTCGCCAGATACACGCTCACGCCGATATTTACACCCGACGGAGGAAGCAAAGCGTAGCGCACAAATCTGGAAGACAATTCCTTGGGATGGATGTTAGAGGGATCAGGACAAGTTAATAAGATGATGCAGAGGATTGGATACAATCTCGACGGGCGTGGAATTTTGAGTTTTGGAAAGGAGTTTTTACAAATTGAGCTTTTTGCGTGCCAAGACTTCGGTTGCGAGAGTGCAGGCGACACTATAAAAACTGCCATGGTTGGATGGTGCGGTGGTACATCGTCTTGGCCGGTCTGCCAAGTAGAGTCTGGATAGCTTGGACACATATCCCACTTGAGACAGCAGATCGCTGGTTCGAATCCGGCAAAACACAACCACTTTTCTCGCGGCGCTGGTATGCATAGATGACGAAGGCATGCTTGGATAACTAAAGGTTTTTAAATTCCCTTTGGTGGGTACTACGGAGGAGGGTCGACTGTTTGTGTAAGCAAACATACCTCATAGTGGTATTTGCAAATGAAATCCAGAGTATGAGTGTCTCTAATGTCAAAAGAGTCATCCAATATGTATACATAGCACCGGTCATGTGTCATAGCTAGATAGCTGAATACACATTAAATGATTCAAAAAAAAAAAAAAAAAAAGAACCTCATGTCGCCTAGCTAAGCTTAATCATATGCAATTGAATCAATTTGATTGATCTTGATGATCATACCTGGAAATCTAAACCTTTCGGACATAATAAGTCTAGATGTCCAACACTCAATGGTATGTTTATGTGTTCCAAGCGCATCACCAGCCTGGTATTCATTCTATCTATAATTCTTTCATGGCGAATAAGCCACGATAATTTGCTGGGTTCTGTAGACGTGGTAGAGATCTGGGTCTTACTACATTGATAAGTCGAATTTGTGTAGATGTATGCGAATCGAAGGGCAAGGGAGATGTCAACGAGGTATCATCGATTTTCCCAAAAACTGTCAGAAATGGTAGCACTGATCAAGTATCATAGCCAAGTAGCTGAATATGCAATAAAGGATTAAGAAATTAAGAGGGTCTGGCTAGTCGTGAACTGCAGAACTGGTGGTATCTAGGAGAGGCATACTCTAACTTCCTAGCTTCATTTTAACTTCATTTATCGTTTGTGCCACAAAATGATCGGGGATGATGTAGAATGTTCAGAGAATTCTTGACAAATATTATGTGCTGTTGATTACAATGGTCATCACTTTCCGTGACGTCCTTGGTACTAGGGAATGCTGTAAAACCTCCGATCATGGATGCTAATACAGCTAGAATGCTACTTATCCTTGGCTCCGAAGAAACTTTGATCATATATAAGAGCTCTGTGGAGACTGCTTGGACATGTTTAATCTTCAATATTCTGTGCATCGTGACGGAAGTGAGCTAGACCCCTGCCTAGAATGATGTTCAATCAAGTCCGTAAATGCACCACTCAACTATGGGCATGCAAAGTACGGCGAGTCACTACATGTCCTCACATATTCATAGACTTCATAGGACAATAAACAAATACATTGTAAGACCATGCGGCAAATTTCATCGGAAGATGACTTTAATTACCTTCTCGCGTACGAGTCTCATTTCGATCCGTGCATCCGCGGAATGGGAATCCGCACTGTGAATTAGGCTGACAAGTATTGGGACTTGCAACAAACCTTACTCTAAGTAGCAATTTCAGCCCTACGTCAAGTCCTATTTCAACGAGTATTCACTGTAAGCTAGATTCGACCTGACAGATTGTTCGAAAAATTTGAATTTAGCATCAGTAAATCTTTTAAGCTGACAAGAGGGCTTAGTTCATCGATCATACTTGAATCCCAAATTTCCAGCTATTTTCGCGCCTTAGGAATATTTTTTAGCTATGTGGATATAAGGAAAATTCGTTCTCGCCAAACCGATGGTAGCAGAAGTATCTTCAGCCTGATCGCCAATCTCCAGCTTCTTCAAATACCCCCCAACAGAACGCAAATGTCGGCGAGAGACACTCAGAAGAGAACAAAAAATGAAAGACCTTTCACGTCCAAAGAAGCAGCAAAAAAACCAATGCTTATACGTAGGACTGGGGATATACCAGAGTCTGAGACACGAAGCCTGTCCACAATAATGATGTTAAAGGATACAGGCATCCAAAAGAATAGTGAGCGTAAAAAGAAATTAAAACGCCTGAAAAAATCACGTACTCATATCCCATCTGCTTCAATCATCTCACATCAAAAACCACCGGCAGATTCAGATATATCAAATAAAATAAACGATTGCGGGGAAGCCGAAGCCTCGGAAAAAGATCATGAGCATCCAATATTACAGCCTCGGCTAAAATCTGTCCATGTCAATCTTAATCAAGATAATCGAATAGCAAATCTCGAACGTAAATATTCTGGGAAGAAAACTTTTTCAGCAAGCTCAAAATTTACAGGTGCTGGTAAAAGGAAATCAAAGGATGCAAATCAAGAGTGCGCTATCGAAACCTTGAGAACTTCTAGTCCAAAGTTAGATAAGATACTCTCTAATCTTGGCACTCTATTTACATCAAAAAAAGATGAGCTTGGTAAAAGAGAAATATCTCATCAGGAACCAGCTACCTCAGAATCAGGAACCTCAGGTAAGACGAGAGATACGACAACTCCCGAAGAACCTGACTCTGAAGGGACCCATCACAACAAAACACATAAATTTTTAAAAGAGAGGCTAGAGGTAGAAAATCTACGAGATGTGGAACGTAAGAGAAAAAGAGTTGTACCTGTTGCTATCCAATCAGATCACAGAAACTCCAAGTCAACTAGATTTAGTATCCTGGATAGCTTATCCACGCAGCCTCAAAACCAACAGGAAGATCCAGAAACCTCAAAAATCTCTTATTTACACCGCCCAAAAAAAGAGGAGTCCGGCTATAGAGCAAGAATATGTCCTTCACAAAAATTAAATGTACCCTCCACAGGGTTTGACACGTCACATGAACCCAAAGATACACAAGTGTCAAACTACCTCGAGCCTAACCCTGAACTGTCAGTAAATCCATCTAGTGTAGGAGAAAAGCTAAAATTGAGCTCTGATGTTACTCCGCTAAAGCGAAAATGGACAGGATCTGTCGAAGGATTGACTCCTACAAAGGATAAAATACCTTCATCAGTGAGCAAAAAGATCAGACAGACATCCAAAAATGATATATCAAAAGGCCCAATTGTTCCAGAACCTGACAAAAAATCTTTTACACCAGCTACTCCGAAAGTCAGAAACAGTCAGGTATCTATCGAGGAACTTAATCAAATTTCAAATGCTATTGACTCATTTAGACGTGAAAATAATATGACTCAGCATGCTGTTAACGATCTGATACAAAAAGAGGCCAAAAAAACTGATCAAGCCAAAGAATTATGGTTACGCGTTAGTGAACAGGTTCCAACAATCCCAAAGCAGAAGTTAATAAACTTGTGCCGGCGAAAATTTCACAATTACGACGCGCGTGGTGCCTGGACGCCGGTTCAAGACGAAGATTTAAAGGCCTTATACGATAAATATCCAAATAAGTGGACAACCATAGGACAAATCATGAATCGATTTCCTGAAGACTGCCGAGATCGGTGGAGAAATTATTTAGTTTGTGGGGATAAGTTGAGGAAAGTCGCATGGGAATTCGAAGAAGAGCAAAGACTCAGATGTGCCGTAGGAGAATTTCTAAAGAAATATCATGAAGAGCACAATGTAGCTGATGTAGATGACAATCTTTTGATTGACTGGCAAACAATAAGTAGGATGATGGGTCATAGTCGGAGCCGTCTTCAATGTTCCTTTAAATGGAAAGCATTAAGAGATCGATGCGAGTCTGGCGATGATAATGAGTCCGGTGATGCCAGTAAGACTAAGCCTTTGTCTCGAACACCATGGCGCCTAGAAGACGCTAAAGAAAAGGTCAGGGTTATGTGTGCCCATCAAAAGCTGCAGCTTCTCTATGCAATTAAAGTTTGTGGGTCTAAGCGAGAGAGTAAAATACCGTGGGTTCAGATTGAAAAGCTGAATCCTGGTATTTCAGGAAACAAACTAGCCCTACGTCTTATATTCAAACACCTCAAAGATCAGGTTCCTCAGCATGAAGAGAAAAAGATACCGGAAATAGTCCAGTATCTAATAGATGCCTATGAAGCAGCGTCTCCAAACGAGCCAGTGGGTTTTAGTGAACTGGAACCATCGACGGAGAAGGAAAGGCGTGCTCCTTTAAAAATACGGAAGAAAAGAATATACAGGTCAGCGTTGACAGTGGATGAGAGCGACCTTAGTGAAGACCTTGAAACTCAAATATCACCCCAAACAAATTCTAAGCACTGCAGCATAGCAATAACAAAAGTGGGGAAAGAAAAGATGAGACCTAGCCTAAAAGCACTCGAAACTTCAAGTATGCAAGATAAAGAGTGCAAATCTCCCAAGGAAAGCCTTCAGAGCAGTCAAAGTTGTACGTTCGCCTCGGATAATATATTTCCAGAGAGGAATCAGGTGACGAAAAAACGCACCAGGCCTCGTCGAACGTATGGACGCACTTGTAAACCACCTCTTGTCCGAGCCCAGAGGAGTCATGCGCCTATGTTATGACCATCAGAAGAGATAGTAGATCTAGCTATAAAATGGGCTTGAAGTACGCAATTATGTTGATGACGCAGGATCACGGGGCTATCATAATTCTGTCCCGAAACTCCAGCAACCTGAATGTCGCTGGGGATTTCACGCATTTCACTCCTCGTGGGCTAATATCATCTCAAGTGACATAAGAACTTGGTAAACCTAAGTATCTAGAGCACCGTCATGGCCGTTTGGTGAAAATTTAGGCGATAAATACTCGTCATTCAGTGTATTATCAGAGGGTTTAGATTGCGGATCGGTGTCTATCGCAAAACTAAACACTTATCCACGGAACTATGGCCTCGACTTTTGGAAGTGTAATCTTAGTCTACTTAAGCTTAATCAGCCCATATTTTTGTCGGGCTATGATAGCTGAATACTGAACTCATATCTTATAGGCATCACAAGTATAAGCAATTGGTGATATGCAAACTAGTTTAGACTTAGCCCGTTTTAAGCTTGTAAAATATCGGCCCAACCTTATCTTTGACGCCCAGGTAATCGATTTTTACTTAATTCCTAATTTTGTACGGCTACAGGAAACTAGTTACAACGAAGAAACCGGTAACTATCTACCCATATTAACACCCATTCTCTTGATCAATACGTTTACTGTAATTTTGTTGTAGCACCAACTATATTCTAGTCGCGTGACTACTATTATCATGCTTAACTTCCACGAGTAGTTTTCCAGTGTTAACTCCTCGAAACAAATCGCATAATGCGTGCTCTGCCATCTTCAAACCTCCCGTAATCATTGTCTCCCTGCGTTGCAATTTACCTTCGGTGAGCCACTGCCCAAGCTCCTCGCGCGCCACATCGAACTGTTTGGTAAAGTCCGTAACAATGAAACCTTGCATTCGGATACGCATTGCTATAACCATAAACAAATTTCGTGGCCCAACCGAATTGGTTGTGTTGTACTGACTGATTGCTGGCAAACAGTTAGGAAGGTAAGTATAGTGAAGAATTAACATTACCACCACACATCACAAACCTAGCATGAGGTTTGGCCTGCGTAAGTGCCATCTCTAGTAGGTCACCACCCACATTATCATAGAAGATATCAATCAAATCTTTTGTCTCTTCCATGAAGCTCTTTGCAAAATCTACAGCCTTGTAGTTGAGTGCTGCATCACACCCAAGCTCTTTAAGCCACTTGACCTTCTCTTCACTGCCAGCAATTCCTAAAACACGAGCACCCTTAATTTTTGCGATCTGACAAACGACGCTGCCGGTTGCTCCAGCAGCGCCACTGACCACCACAAAATCGCCCGCCTTGACTTTGCCGATCTCCGTGATGCCAAAATAAGCCGTCAGACCTGTAAGCCCCAAGACTCCCAAAGCGTCTGTAAGCCGACCTTTCGGAAATTTATTGATAGGAACGACTGCAGACTCGGGGAGAATGGCCATCTCGGTCCACCCTGGGGAACAGGCTACATAGTCGCCGAATTTAAAGTATGAGCCGGGAGAATTAATGACACGAGCGATGCCATAGCCACGCATGACCTCATTCAATCCAACAGGAGGGACATAGGAGCGCGTATCTGAAGATTAGGTTAGAAGCCAGATATTAGCTCCCACTCATCAATCCAACATACCGCTTAACCATCCTCTCATTGCCGGATCGAGAGAGAGATACAGCGTCTCGACGAGGAGATGACCGTCCGGTATGTCCTCAGACGTGAGCATTGGTTTTTCAACTATTTTAAAAGTCTGGCCAGGTATAATTTGGCCTTTCGGTCGCTCAGCTAGCACTACTGTGGAATAGGTCGATCGAGATGTCATCTTGACAAAGGATCAAGGCTCAGAGTATAGTATCAAGAAGCGATGCCGTTGAGGTGCAATGTGAATTTGAGCTCGAAAGAGGTGATTGTCGTGACCCACAAGGCGAATTTATGGCTCGAATCTCTCCTTGTAGCAATGACGTTTGAAAATGTCGAGAGCATTGTGTGGTCCCGATTTTTGCGTATGCTACCTGACGAATCCTAGTGCTTTTACCCCTCAATAATGTCAACTTCCACATTCTTCAGCTCTGATTATGCCTGTACTAAGGTGGCTTGAGATAATTCAAGAGTGGTACATATCGTCATACTTTTTCTCCACCAAAAATTGCTCCCCTTACTTGATAGCGCTGCTGACGCAGTTCTATCTAATAACGCTTAGTTTTGTTTGGGTTGTTGTACTGCTTACGTCATAACTATCTAGCATGTTGGGCTCCTCTTTGACCTTGGCCACATTTTGTACGGTGCTCCTTTACTTTTTGTCACCAAAGAAGATCTCTGATATAGAGAGAGATTAATGTTTATTCTACTAATTGAGTGTCTCTAATATATTGAACATGATGGAAAGCCATTTAGCTCAGTATTTACTCGTGAAATTAACCAGTAATGGGGATCCCACCATCAAATTAAAGAAACTCCAATTAGAATGGACAAGATAAGTTGTATTTAAATAGTCTGTCCTACATAGTTGTAAACTCAAATAGGATATAAATGGATTATTATTATTATTATTATTATTATTATTATTACTCGTGAAATTCAAACGCTTTTTCTACATAATCTTCTACCCAAATTTTGAGTGCGGCAGCATAGTAAACAGCGTGTGTATAGTGTCATAGCTAGTTAGGCTGCATACACTCAATGATTTTTTAAAAAAAAAGAAGCCTAGATATCGGGACTACATGAGGTGCGCATATCCGTCTTTATCTCCCCTCTTTATAACATTATAGGTCAACCTGATCCTATCCGCCATCACCGTATCGGGTGCTTGATATGCTCTAGAAACTCATCGGATGGCTTCTCCTTCATGACCAAGGGTTGGCAACGAGTAGGATTTCGACCCTACCATCTGATCTGATCGTGGTTATGTGGCGTCTGGTTGATCAGTTTATGATCGAAATGATTTCACGCAGGTGTCTCGTAGCTCCTACTAATCAACAATATAATGTGAGTAGAGCTTGAGACTAAAGATACGTGAATTGATTTCCATCATACAGGATTGCCGATTTATTTAAATATTTCCCTGCACCACGTGATCCAATCAACAGCGCACAATGTGCACGGTCGGGTTTCCATCTATTGGGATCCACATTTAGCTTCGTGATAATGGTGATAGAGGGATATGCGGAGAGATGAAGACGATACAGATGGCAAAAGCGAATGGGAATCCTTATCGGAGTGAGGGCAAGGGTTTAGAGCCAGCATTCACTATCTTCTTTTTTTTTGCATCACATTTTAATTGCGTTTGCTGCTATCTAGCTATGACACAATATCAAAGAAAAGTACAGAGAAGTTGACTCAATTTATAAGAAGAGCACTCATGCCTCGGATTTCATTCGCAGATACCACTATGAGGTATGTTTGCTTATACAGACAGTCGAACATCCTCCGTAAGTACCAACCAAATGGACGTTTCAAAACCTTTGGTTATCCAAGCATGCCTTCGTCATACATGTCTACTAGCGCCGCGAGGAAAGTGGTTGTGTTTTGCCGGATTTGAACCAATAACCTATTGTCTCGAGTGGGACATGTGTCCAAGCTATCCACTTTACTTGGCAGACCGGCAAAGACAATGTACCACCGCACCATCCAACCATGGCGGTGTTTATAGTGTCGCATGCACTCTGCGGTGCGTCGTTATTCGGCTTCGACAATGGGTCGAAGCTCGGGCGGGCAGTGTGCTTTCGTGTCAGCTTTTGGCTGCGATGTTGATCTTAAAGCTGCTTTGGGTGCAGCGTTCTCCGACGGATTTGACGTGGTCGGAGGAGATTTTGACGATCCTCCAATCCCGTGAGGGACGGAGGGTGGTTGAGGAATTTCCTCAACAATTTCGACCGACCCGATCATGTGAGTATCGGGCGCAGAGACGGTGGGAAGGGATTTTCTCTTCCTTTTGCTTGAAGACTTGCTCATCTCCATGAATTTTGGAGACTGGGCAAAGCCTGGCTTTTGATCGAGAGCCCTCGGGCGGCCTCTCGTGTTGTCCAACATAGCCATGGGACGCTTTTTTCGAACAGGTGGCATGATAAGAATGCCAGAAGCTCGATCTCTATTTTCGAATGCATGCGACGAGCGCGAAAGAGGGGAATATGGGAATATTCGAAAATTGTCAGGAATGATGGCACCAGTCATGCGTCATGGCTAGACAGTTGAATACACATTAAATGACTTCTTGAAAAATAAATAATTATTACTTGAATTTGAATTTGATTTCAATTAACCCGATCAGGCACCCTATGGGTCCATGTAGGTGACTATCTGCATTATTTACAAAGGAGGAAACCAATTTGGTGAAAACCACCCGATCCCGTCTTTTTATGTTCCTATCAATTTATTTGGTTTGCCTTCAGGAGGTGCAGTGTACACTGTTCAGCCCGTGTAGATTCCGTCCTCTCCCCTTCCAGATCTATTTACTTTATCCGACATTGCTACCTCGACTTCCCCTGCAAGTCGAAACTGTTTTATCCACCCTTTGTTTAGTATCTACTGTGTAATTCTGGCCATGTCTTCTGGGCTGTTCATCATTGCTTCAAATGACCTGTCTTTAGCTTGTCGGAGACAGACGCCTCTTCCATTTGCCCACTGCAGACACGCCAACACCATATGCTTGACGTTTTGCGACGGATATCCACATTGACAGCTTGGCTTTTCTACTCCGGGTACTTTTGTTCTACTCAGGTAAGAATTGAGTCCGATATGCTCGCTCCTTAGCTGAATGGTGACACTGCTTTGGGCCCTGGTTAGGTTACGGTGGATTCTTAAGGGTGTATATTTGAAGTTCATTTTGACGCTGCCTGTTTGTTTATCAATAAATGTATTTGCCACTTTCCAATGTTCTGGATCGGCTGATGCTAGTCGGCTAGGGCGGTGTTTCCTGATCTGGCTTGTCCATGAATCCTTCCACTCCTGAAAGACCGCTATCTTTCCGGCTTCTTTCTGCCTTCTCTTATCCTTTTCCCTTCCGCAAGTTCTTGTCCATTCGGCGATATCTTTACTCCTGGTCAATGCATGCGGAGTTTCTCTCCCGTTTGCGGGCAGCTTTATCCTCTTACATGTCGATCGGATTGTCTGTTGAACTTGGAGCTTATCTGATAGTCTGGCGTGTTGGACCCTCCTTTGTTTCAGGTATATCTCTATAGGGAGGACGGACGATCCGTGCTCTAGCACTCTGCTGCTAGTAGAATTGTAGGCACCTGCAACAAGCTTTAAGCATTTTCTTCGAATACTTCTGAGGGGTTCCACCATCCTTTCAGGTATCTTTCCTGTTGGCCCGGCCTCAGCCCATATCGAGGACCCATGCGTAAGGGCCGGTCTCAATATCGAGTTATATAGCAGCTTGGACTTCAAGAATGTCGCTCCCAAGTTGATTGTGTCAGTCTACTAATTGATTGCACTTGAGTGCACGATTTTTGCTGGATATTCTTTATGTGGGCCCCTTAGTGGAGTTTGGGGTCGAAGAAGACTCCGAGAACTTGAAGTTAGGTGCCCTTGTATACTCACGGTGGCTTTTAGGTTGTGTCTACTCCTTGCTGGTGTGAAATGCATCAGTTGGTACTTCTCCAGTGCAAATTTTACTTCGTATTTCTCTGCCCACTCCTCGTATATGCTGTGCTTTTCCTCTAACATTCGGCAGTTTTCCTCAGTAGAGCTTGACCACGTCAGTATATTAGTGTCATCTACAAATCCTACCGCTGAGCTAGAGGGGGTTTGAAGCAGTGGTAAGAGGTTGCTGAAAAAAACCAGGAATAGAATCGGAGACAGAGCTGATCCCTGAGGTATACCTGTGTTAGTAGAGATTTGGTCCCCTTTGTATGACCCAAGGACTACGGAAGTCGTTCTATCCTCTAGAAAGGATTTTATAAAGTTAATAATCCAAATAATTATTACTTGTAAGCAGACTTATGCAAGCATAAGTCTGGATCCAGTCCAAAAGCGAAAGCACGATCTGCGTGCAACCATGTCAGACTAGTAATTATGATCAGGGGCGTCAATAGGGTAGAACTAGATATTGTAGTGCTACGAGTTCATCGTAGGAGGGCAAGACTGAACACCTGTACGCGGTGCTCTCTACGAACCTGGGAGTGAAATATTCTCCCAGAGCCAAGTTCAGTCAAATTTCGCAATATCAAAGAAGTTGGCCCACGAGGCAAAAATTCAAATTACTACACCATGTCAATCTTTCACTCCCAAAGAGTCCGATTCTCAACTAAGCTTCATCAAGTCTACAAGTACGACCTAGTACATCCTCGTTTCAATGACCACACCTCTCGTCGACTTTCTCTGGCCTCAGCCGGTCACCAAATACACGCCCACGCCGATATTTATACCCGACGGAGGAAGCAAAGCGTGGAGCACAATTTTGGGAGATAGCTCTTTGGGACGGACGTGAGAGGGATCAGGACAAGTTTACAAGATGATGCAGAAGAGGGATACATTCTCGACGGGCGTGAAATTTCGAATTTTGGAAAGAGTTTTACGAATTGAGCTTTGTGCGCGCCAAGACTTCGCTTGCGAGAGTGCAGCTGACACTATAAACACAAGCCAACGATGGAAGGTGTTGTGGTCCGCCTCCTGGTGGTGTTCTCTGGTATGGTTTGAGTAGCATGGGCACCTACTCCACTTGGGAAGGAGACATCTCAGATTACATTTCGCGCGGAGAAAAGTTGATGGATGACAGAGGCATGTCTGGATAACTCAGGGTTTTTGAGACGTTCCCCTGGGTGGGTATTCACGGATGAGGGTTGACTTGGGGTGAAGAAAAAGCCACCATAACTTCGCAGTGGT